TAAGGAGAAATTCTTTCCTGGTCACCAAAGGGAGTTAAAGGGTTAATGAATAAAGTATCTTCTTTCATGATACTACAAGCTCAGAATAGAACATTTCTTGATCACAGCACTCTCATAAGTTCACTGCTGTTACCAGGATCACTTCAACAAAATTAACCGATCACACTATAGGAAAGAAACAATGATTCCAATTCAATTCAATTTTAGGCAAAACAAGCAAAATATTGCAAAAAGTTTAAATGTTGTTCATCGTTGGTTGTGACATGTTGTGTAACATGTCATTTTTGATAGAAGAGATCTTGGCCTGAGTTTCTGTTATTTTTTCTAGTTTCCTGTTCTGCATTTTGATCCACTCGTTTTGAATAAATCAATTACTGAGACTTTTTTTCGGTCAATGGATCATTATAACAATAGTACCATTGAAATATCATTATAAAAATTATCTGCCATCGGTTATGGCTATTTTTTGTTAAGGAAGAGAAACTAAATCTATTTTCAAGCTCACCTTTTTGAATTAGGAAATTTGCGAAATACTGGCCTGACACAACATCTGCCAGCGAGTGATTAATATCCATATCTCTGCGCCATTCAAACTGGGATTTAGCCGGGTGCCAGTGTAAAAGGTAGACTGGATAACGCTTACCTGTAAATAATGCAATTAGACTCTTGCCATCACTCCTGAGCGAGCTCTTTAAGAGAGCAGTCGACCTCTCTTTCGTGAAGATTTGCCAAAAGCATATGATAAAGGAATTCTTCCTTTTTATTTTTTCTATTTGCACAAAACATTACAAGTAAGAAATTTACAACTGATAATTTTTTAGAAGAATTGTAACCAGAAAAGAATTAACTAATGTAGCGAGAAAGCCAGACGAAGCTTATGATATTTGGGTTTGTTTTTTAAGATTCCTTAAACGTTTTGTTCTTACCTTCCATAGTTGAAATAAATTCAACCCCGTTGCGATCTTTGCTGGTTGAAACGATTCTGAAAAAAGCATTTAGACGTCTGTACTTGACATAATTCTGGCGCAAAAGAACAGAGTAGTATGGGTCAATGTATAATCTAAAACAAGTGAAGGCGTAAAGACTTAATAACCCTTATCATTAGTATGCATTTAGGAGCGGGGGGGTAGGATCGGGAGGGAAGGAGCAGGGGGGAGGAGCGGGGGGAGGAGCGGGGGGGAAGGAGCGGAGGGGGAGCGGGGGGGAACGGAGGGGGCGGGGGGAGTGGGGGGAGCGGAGGATTTTGGTTGTGTCACGATGAAATTTACCTTATTTACTCATCCTAGGGCTGACTATAATATTCTTATCATCCCCCAGGTTGACAATTAATGGGCAGTCAATTTTCTATAATTTCCCATAGTGCTATGTTCAATTAGCGACGAATGATCCCCGTTCCAGACCCCTGAAAACCATGTGATCCATCCCAAAATCCTCTGCCTCCCTACCCATGCAAAAAATAAAATGACTGGTCCCTTAAAACTATAAATGAATAACAATGATAGCAATAATAATTCAGATTCCTCTGTTAAGAGTAAAGGTAATAAATTTCATCTAACCTGTGGTGTGATGCCTATCTTGTGATTGTTGAATGCTGCATTGTTATTCTGTAAGAATTTCACAACTTGTCTTGGAGCAAATTTCCACAGAGAAGTTGTTTTATAATCTTTAGGACAAAAATTAGTTGTATCAGTAGAGGGTCACTCCAAGATGTGTCTATTTCACAGCTTAAACCGAACTGTGATAGAGGGTGATGGCCTTTATGGCTAATGATTAGGATCGGGCCAATGTCCAGTGCTCAGTCATCCATCAGAAAGCGAGCTAAGTAAGGTACTACGAGTTCGTTTGATTACAAAAACATTAAACTTACAGGAAGAGTTTCGAAATACCCCTAGGGTTACTCTACAAACTAAAAGTTTTGGAATGTCTTTGTAATTCTTCTCTAAAGATGTTATTGGGTCACTTGAATCCACCTTACAGGTAAGCGTAATCCACCAAAACTAAACAAAAACAGGGACGGTACCGCTATAATAGAGTTGAAATACTGATTGGCTACATTATCGTTAGCATAAATAATAAAACAGATGCATCACCAACCTTTTGGAAGAATTAATTTCAGGCTTAAATTTTTTGCATCGGTGTCGCTGAAAAGATCCTGGTCGAATTGCCCCACTTGTAAATCACACCCAGAAATCAGTATTGAAAGCAACTCTAAGCCCAGACATTCTCCCCAGATGGGAAAGATGTCGCCTTTATCATAAGCCTGCAGTGGGGAAAGAAATTTGTGTGTGACGATATTGCAATGACACTTTTTCTCAAACCACAGCGGAAATTAAATTTCCTGCGAGGGTTTGTATGTCTGTCTCTGTTCTGTGGTACTTTGTAATAAAATTGTTGCACTTTATAAAAACATTTGTTATACTTTGAAATAAAAAAAACTGTCGCCTTTTGTGAGAGGGTCTCAGTTGGGTTAACCATTAGCCATAAAACGGTCATAAAATTTAAATGTTAGGCGTAAAAATTGATAAATTTTAACCGTTAGTCGTAAGAAAAGTTAACCGTAAA